AAGAGAGCGCTTGCCGAGAGATCTGGGAACTTCACCACCTGCAGATCTTCTCCAGGCTTGCAGCGCTCTGCACCCACTCAGTTTACGCTACTCATCGCTCCTCTCCGGGCTGCTCTGCCAAAGAGCACCTCACGCTCGCCAGGGCGGGCAGACCCGATCCAGCCCGCACGTGACAGCAGCCCGCTTCAGCACTCCATCTCTGGGCCTCCCGCAAGAAGGTGACAGGGACCAGGGAACTCCTGCCCGGCTGCACAGCCCCTGCCACCCCCCCTCTGCCAACTCTGCCACGCTGCTAACGCAGCGACACCCACCTCTGAGGACCTGGAGGACTTCAGCAGGCGCTGGCTCACCCAGGGACTGCTCCTGGCCAGCGGCCGAGAGCACCAGCCTAGCAGCCTCCTGGGAGGACGGATCTTACTGTGTTTCCTGGCACAGCCCTGCGGAGGGCTGCCACTGGGGCAGTGTTTATCATCTCCAAGCCAAACACTAAACAGACAACAGCATCTGCATGTTTATCCCACTACAGAACAGCTCTCTGAACAAGCCAAGCACATTTCGACTCTGCTTAGAGAAACAGAAACCTCCACAAGCACTTGGGGAGTGGGGAATTGCAAACCTTACTTGTCTGTTTTGTTTTGATAGCAGTGAGTCACTATCTCCAGGAGAGAGGCCAGATTTGCAACGCTGAAGAGAGAGAACTACTTGAAGCAGACACAAGAATTCACATGCTCTACTGGAACACGCTGGCTCCTCTCCCTCTCATCCCAAGCAAAGGGAAGAGTCTACTGAGATCAGACTCCACGCGCTCGCTTTTAAGACCTTCATAGCAACAAGACTGGCTTCTACTTGGCCCTACTTGGATGCATCGCACAAGGGCTGCTTTGTTTCCTAACTTAACAAGAGACTGGGAAAGAGCTACCATACAGATGCATCCTGACACAGAAAGAACATAACAGCATCCACAGAGAAACCACCGTAAGCTTTACACAGCCTCGGGACTCCTCAGATCTTCCTGGGAGGCCAAGGCCCCTCCATCCACCTCATCCTGGTCACTGCCAGACAGCTGACAGCCACCACGTCCTATGGTGTGACCCCAGGTACAATCAGGCCAGCAGCGTGGCTGAGTTACACCCAGAGAGCCGGGTAACAGAGGCAGAGCTTCTGACAACTTCAGTGTCACAGGTACTGAAGTAACTCAGGGAGGAGGAAAGTAATTCAAGAGGAAATTTGTTTTCCTGCTCCCTCTCCAGCCCCCAAACCAGGAGCTGCCTGCGGCTCGGTACGAGTGTGATGACTCAGCTCCTGCACAACCCATCTGCCACTCTGCTGGGTCCCTCTGCATCATGCAGCGCTGCAGGACAGGAGGGGGCAACAACGCTGAGCCACGTGCGCCGAGCACGTGGTAACGATCACACTCCATTGCTGCCTGTGCACTGCGGAAGCACCGCCACCGTATCGGGGCTGGGACAAGGATCTCAGCCGTGTCACGACGCAGCAAAGGTACAACTGTCACCTGCAAGGGAGCGGGGAGAGGGTTCAGGGAGGGAAAAAGACCCTCCGTGTCTCGGCAGATCTGGCCTCTCCTCACAGGGCCTGCGGTCCAAGATAAAAACCTGCAGGCACAACTTCCACCAGTGTAGCCTGCACAGTTTTTTCTGGGATGCTCAGGGAAGACACAGGTTTCCAACACACGCATGCATGTGTATCCCACACCTAGCCCTGGTAAGCAGGAGTTGAAGCCTGTCCATAGAGGGCTCGAGTGCTATCTTTGGACTAAAAGGTCCAGGAAAGAGGAAGAGCAGCAGAATAGCAGAATTAGCAGTTCCAAAAGAAAAGCAGCTCAGAGCATCTTTAAGGTCAATCCAGACTGGCCCCCATCACCATCCTTCAACCCCCATCACCATCCTTCAACCCCCAAAATATGCAAACACCTTGTCAACTTCTTTGACTAAATATTCTTGAGTCTTCAGGGGTAAACATACCAATTAAGCAGTTCAATTTAGGCATGATGTTCATTTTAATTGTGCTAATCCACCCCCACAGGGAAAGATGAAGCAGCTTCCAACGCTCTATCTGTTTGGATCTTGCACAGAAGCCAGAGGAAGTTGCAGGATACAGTAAGTCAGTGGTTAGCATATGCCCAAGTAGCAGATGGCAAGCATGAGCTAAGAAGAGTTTGACTGGGAGGACAGGACCATGGACACAGCTAAGCCTAATGGTTTATCTTCAGGATTCACTTGTGGTCTCTGCCTGTAGGCTACCAGCACGGGAAGAAACAGCCTGTTTGGCAAAAATAGCGGTCCCTCGATGACAAGCTCCTCCTTGCTGACTGTGGCTGTTGAGGGGTAATTGCCAGTTTGCAAGAGGGAAGATGCTGAAGTGGTTAAATAGCCAGCGGCAAGACAGCTACCTGCTGCTGCCAGCTTCAGATCAGCACTGGGGGGAAACAAACCTACCACAGCATGTCCTTCACCTACAGCCCCGCTAGAGCAGACGAGTCTCGATAGTTTTACAGCGGGACCCCACGGCGCAGCTATCAGAATAACTGCTCCTGCCACCCAGAGCTGAATCGTTACATATAATCACGCAGGAAGAGAGCAGCACAGAGCCAACTGTTGGAGATGCGTCCCCCTCCACCCACTTCAGCAGACCAAGGCTATAAAGACAAAAATGCAGAGCCTCTCCGGCTCCTGCCTGTCAACAGCGAAAGGACGTGTTGACAAAGAGCCTCCTTGCAAGGACACGTGAGGCTCTGCCCCCAGCTTCCCTTCCTCCCTTGCAGATAATAGCTGTCGTCTCCAAAGCACTGCTTTCAGGGCACTTTCCGAAGGGCCCTGCAGCTCAGAGTCGGTGCAGAAGGTCTCCATACAATCTGCCTCAGGATGCTCTCAGGAAGGGATTTGCTTCCCTATGAGTTCAGCCACCTAACTCTGAGCCCAGTCCGAGTTCATGGGCCTTCTCTCAAGAGACATCTAAACAAACCCTCACAGGCGATCCGAGACCAAGCTATCTGTGACCCTGCACACAAGGCCCACTCCAGAGGGGAAAGGCATGAGTGGAGGAAAATGGTTAGTACCAAACAGGTTAACCCCCACCCTCCTCTGGTGTGACTGGGTGAGAAGAGTTAGGCTGTACTTGTTTCCAAGTAGAAGGAAAGATCTTCCTCTGAGGGACCAAGACACAACAGACTACATGCTACTGGTGTTTCAAGGAGACCAACAGTAGCACTTAAGGGCTAAACAATTGTCTTGCATATCCCACTCCTTGGCACTGAGCTGAAAGTGGTGTCACCTACCTTCTGGCTGACAGGCACAGGGAGATCCTCCTCTTCACTGCCTGAGGAGTCAGAGCTCTCCACTGGCTTTGTACTTTCCGCAGGCTTTGTGGGAGCAGCAGTCCTTCCCAGTGTGGTTTTGGCCTGCTTCAGCACTGGTTTTGGTGCTGGCTTCCCTTGGGACAGTGGAAGTGTTTTTGCTGCAGTTGCTTTGCCAGAGAGCGATGCTGCTGGTGTAGGTTTCGCTGGGGATGGGACGGCCTGGGAGGATTCTGGCGGTGGCTTTGTCTGGACAAGACAAGAACAACATGAAACAAGGCAAACCCCACAGCACTATAATTCATTTGCTCAGGCTGTAATCAAGGGAAGAGATTTCAGAGCCCCCTGGGAAAGGCAAACAGTGAAGGAAGATTAGCAACTGGCAGGACACATGGCATCCTTTCATCTAGCTGCGTGAGGGTAGTCTCCCAAGATCAGAAAGCAAGACCAGACATTCTTCATCAGCCTGCTGGTGCTACCAGTCCCCTCCAGTGAGGTACACTGCAGCACTTTGCACTCTCCACAGCAGGGAAGCTAAGCTGCACTAGAGTTCGACAAATCAGACACTATTTATTTCAATTTATAGCTGAGAGGCAAATTCAACTATGACCATTTTCCTCCTCAGGTGGGAAAAGAACTGCTGGGGCTTTTTTATTTAAAGGTACCTACGGATTTATTTATTTATCTTTTTAAGAAAGTCACAATAGCTTGATTAAAGCTCAGAGCAAAGACACTGAAGTGCCTTTAAACAGCCCATGCCTCCTTCCTCCCACCCCTGACATGACTTTGCTATACACTACACACATTTACAAAACTTTCTTTTCACTGCAACTCCTAGCCCTGGAGAGGTGTGCAAGGAGAAGCAGAGTCTTGGACAGACGCACTTGGGTTACTGATGGAGGCTCCTCCTCTTCGCTGTCTGATGAGTCGCTGCTCTCTGACGTGTCATCGGGCTTTGCAGCCCCAGGAACCGTCGTGGATGCAGGTTTGGCCGGGCTCGGTGCCGGTGCCGTTTGCCTCGCCGCATTCTTCTTGAGGGACGCTGGAGCAGCAGGGGCACTTTTCACAGGTGTCGCATTAACCTGCCCTGTTTTCACAGCTGGCTTTGCCTGGGAAGGAGGGCGACAAAAGGGAACAGGAGAATCAGGCAACATCTCAGAAGAAACCAGCTGAGAGCCGGAACTGCATGGAATCTGTTTTAAAGAAGGCTACCTTGCTACCTTGGACCAGGATAGGCTTGTTCAGACCCACGGGCTGCGGAGTGGCTGAAGCAAGCCACTTTCTCCAAGGACTACCTGATTACATCCATGGAGTTGCACACCAAATCACCTCCTACAGATCAAATGATCTCCCTCAACTTCAGGCACTAAGCACCGGGAGGGAATGGTTGATGCTGGCAGGGGTTAGTGGGGCTCTCAGCCACGCAGTGTGATTCTCGGTCTTTGGGTTTGAGGATCCCACACACCCAGGGAAGGGGGGTGCTGTCAGATTACAGCATCGCAGCATTTCCTCTCTCCTTCAAGGGCAGTGACTTCCTAGGGACAAGGAACCTGGGTTGGAGAGGTTACCTGGACCGTTGGAGGTGCAAGCTCCTCCTCCTCGGAGGATGTCTCATCACTTGATTCCTCACTGCTGCTCTCAGCGGCCCCAGCTGCCTGCTTCGGCTCTGAAACACAAGCAAGGAGATGTCACAGCTGCTGCCTGCTCTGAGCTCCCAGAGCGTGATGCTAATGCAGCTTTTGAAGTCATGAGAACAAAACAAGCCACAGAGAGGGCTAAGGGGATTTGCAGGGAAGAGGGCTTAGCCCTGCTGAAAGCATCAGTGCCCTGCTGGGAACAGCTTTTCCAGAGAAATGCTGCCTCACAAACACCACTCCTGAGAGCAGGCAGAGATGGGAAACCCTTCCTGGCCACCCTCTGACCCTATGGGGAGCTGCCCAGCCACACACAGCCCCCTGCAGGGGCACCCAGTCTGGCTGGACCTCCTCTGGAAAAGAGCCAAGACAAGGACCATTTTCAGAGCTTCTACGAGCCATTCCTCAGCCCCACCTCCACCCCCCCCAAACACTTCAAAGCAGTAAAAGATTTCCCCAAAGACTTCGGAACCCCCAAAACAATCACTTTGCCACTGGGAATAAAGAGAAGATGCTCCAGTGCCTTTCCAAAAAGCTGAAAGCATCTGCAGCATTAGCACTGCAACTCCTCCAGATACGCTACGCTGTCATCTCCAACCCCGTAACGCTGGGTGCTGCCAGACAGACATCTCAGCACAGAACCTGCCACTTGAAACGGGAGCAATCGTACTGGTTTCATCCCACAGAGCTCCAGAGCTGGCTGCTTCGCAGTATTCTCACAGCCTCCCCGAGGAACGAGCATCGCTTGGAGCTTTCCAACAAGGGAGCAGAAAGGAACACCCCGAAGGCACAGCTCAGACCCGATTCGCAGCAACGCTGGAGCACACGTGCGTTTACCGCACCCCACAGGCTCCTTACCCACTTTGGGGGCTGGGGCCTTCGCAGGCGGCATCTCTTTTTCCTCCTCACTCTCCGATGAGGAGCTGCTGCTGCTGCTGCTGGAGCTTTCAGGTGCTTTGGTCGTTACTGGTGCTTTGCTTTGACCTACTTTGGCCGTGGCTGTTGCGGCATGTCCGGGCTTTCCAGGAGCAGGCAGCTTCTGCCCGGCCTTGGCCGGAGCTGCAGGGGCAGCTGGCACAGCGGGCTGCTGCTTGCTGGAGACCACAGTTCTGTCTGCAGCAGAGAGCACTGCTGCTTTGCCTGCTGGGGCAGCGGGCTTGTTGGGAGAATGCAGGGAGTTGGCAGCTTTGCTGCTCACCACAGCTGGTGTCACCTACAGGAAACAAAAGAAATTAGAAGCCTACAGACAGATGAAGGGCTGAATTGGACACAACGTCCCTTAAACAGCAATCTGGCAGCCAAAGCCATAGAGTTCTTTAGGGAAGCACATGGAGGGGACAAGTATCTAAGAGAAGGCTTATGCCAGCATAGGAGGGTCATTTAAATATGAATTCCAGCCCACAATTCTACACATGCCAACAAGTCTAGGACCATCCGGGCCTCAGAGTATTATCAGCCTTCAGAGCCAAGAGGAAAATCCCCTTACCGTAACTGTCCCTTTTCGAGCTGGTGTCTCCTCTTCTGATGAGGAGTCGTCATCTTCACTGCTTTCTACATTCACTCCCGAGTTCGTGGCCAGGGAAAGGCTGGCTGCTGCACGGGGGAGCGTCACAGAGAAACGGTGTGAGCGTGTCTCTCGCATCGAGACGGCCTTTGGTTTGCAGGAAGGCCCCCGCAGGCAGGGCAGGGTCCCATCTTCACACCTGGCCCAACACCACCACCACTGTCCTTGCCACAGGCCAGTGCTTCGATCCTCCACCCCACCCTTCTCCCCACCACCAAGACAAGGAACCTGCACGTTTCCAAGGGCTGGTCTACAGCAGATGAGACTGAGCCAGAACGCATCAGACACGTGGATTTTTGGTTACGACTATGTAAGCCAACACCTCCCACATCAGCTGCACCAGGGATCTATCCCCGCCTCAGACAAGAGGGCACTGGCTTTCCAGACCAACACCCATGAGACAGGCCTGCCTTTACTGGCCCAACAGGCACCCGGGACCCACAGGAAGGTGCTCCAGAGTGGGCAGCATCAGGTTCCCAAGGTTTCATCCAAGTGACAACACCCATCCCTCCCCAAAGAATCACGACAGGTTTTTCCCAGCTTCAGCGGACATCTGTGCTCCTCAAACTCCGCATGAGAAGGGGGTGCTAAATTAGGTGTCCTATTTTTCTAAGAGTGCAAGGGAATAGCCATCACTTTACAAGCATTTTCTCTAGCCAAACAAGTCAGGCTGCTCCTACACAACTCCCAGTCCTACTCCATCACAGCAGGGAGATGAAAGGCTCCTACCGTTTGCAGCTTTCGCCTTCTCTTTTTCATCCTCTTCTTTCTCTGAACTCTCAGAGCTGCTCACAGGATCAGGAACTCTGATCTTTTCTGGGATGGCTGCCTCCTCATCACTCACTTTTCTTCTCCTGGAATTCGAGGGAGTTCTGGGGGAAGAGAATTTGTGTCAAAATGGGTAACAAAATATCTTGAACTAACCGGAATACAATTATTCATCTCTCCAGGAGGCAGCTAGAGCCAGACAAGAAGTGCAGTCCCAGTTTAGGGCAGTGATCCCCAAATAGCTCTCAGTATTCCACAGGCCAGGAGAAGCGAATCTAAAGGCTGCAGAAACCATATTAACTCGGGCTCACTTGCCAAAAGGACAAAAAAGTCATGTTGCAGAGAGATTTAAGAAAGGAAGTGGCTGGACCTACAGAAGATGTTGAAAGGAGTGGGGGGGAAGAGGCTTCTGAGAAGCATTAAACGCTTAAGCTGTTCAATTGGGTTAAAACATTAAGCTGGAGAAAGATGTCTCCAGGCTCTGAATCCTACTTGTACTGGAAGAGATGATGTGGCTAAAGTTATCTTTAATTTTCAAACGAAAACATAGGTAACACATTTATGTTACTACAAGGACAACAGTGGCTGGGCACACATCTGTGCAATTCACACGTGCAATACTTCTAAGCCCTGAGACACACAGTTATCAGAGGCAAAACCCCTCACCTTTGTGTCAGTTTAGCTTATTCCATTTGTTCATCTGATTTAAAAATTAGATTAGTTTAACAATTTGTCCAGTAGAGATTGTGCTTATTATTAGACTGTTTTCGTAGCGATGCTGTAACAGCACTTTTTTCACAAGCAGGCCAAGCTGAAGGCACATTTACTATTACAAAGTCCCATTAACTACTTAATAATCCTTTTAACAAAATAATAAGACGAGCCACACAGGCAGCTACACCGCTCCAACGCCTTCCTGATTCAGTGGCAGCTGACAGCACAACAGGGGCTACTGTGAGAACTTGTCATGAGTGACCAGGGCCTCAGGGATGCTGCGTGGGGGAAACCAGTGGTGCCTGCAGGCACTGGCCCTACTGCAGCCCGGAGCGTTTGAGGGCTGCAGGGCTGTGGCTGCTCTTGGGGCTGAGCTTCCTCCGGCACTCAGGCACCCTTCCACCCCCTCCCAGCCTCCTCCGTAGCCCTGGAGGGAGGCTGCTCTTAAGTAACTGCAAACCTCAACTCTCAGGTTCCCTGTTTAAGGGTTTCTGAAGGAGAGCACCAAGGACGGTGTCAGTTAAGGTGGGCAGGAGTCGCAGCGCAGGTGGAGGAAAAACATTTTCAGGCCAAAAGCCTTTGAAGTGACAAGACGCCAGAATCAGAGCTCACCCACACGAGAGCACTCCAGCTAGGCAGGGCACCTTCTGGAGAAACAAAACCACAGGTCACTCTAGCCCTTGCTGGGACTCCAAACCAGGCATAACTCAGGGAGCCCATGAATAAGAAGTGTACTTGTGGGGTACAACAGAAGGGTGACACTAGAGGAAAAGGAATTAAACACGATGCAAGCGCCCTATTACCCTCCAAGCTTTAAAAGTAACAGCATCTGGAAGGGTTTGCTGTAGCACCCAGGGTAACTAGCACAGAGAAAGGTCACCATCAACACCCAAGAGAGCAATAAACTGTCAGAAGGAGGAACTGCAAGCCTGTTTCTACACTGCTGCATCCTCGCCAAGGTCTCGTCTTTCTCCTGCTCAAGTAAGAACCCACGGAGATCCAAGAGCCAGAACCAGGACAGCACCAAGGCACGAGGCATTCTAACAGAAAATACCTTTGAAGCAAACACTGGCTCTCCCGAGGCTGCTGGACTGGCCACGCTGAGGAGCAGCTTCGCTCCTCGGCACAGGCACAGCAGCCCAGCTCCACCGACTCCCTGACAACCCAGCCCCGCGCCGCACTCCAGCGCCCAACCACAGCGAGCGGGGGGCAGGGTGGGTGCAAACGTCGCTGTGCCCCACAGATGGGAAGGCTGCAGACCTTCCCGTGGGGTGCTCCCGGGAATACTGCCTGGGAAGGTGTCGGGCTGAACATGTCAGGGCTTGAAAAGGACAGGCTGAAAGCAAGAGACTTCCTCTGAGTGAGAAGATGCATGATCTATGCCAAGGTTTAAGTCCCTGTACGAGCCCTGACATTTCAACATTCTCTGTTCTGGGGTCAATATTCCTACAAAGCACGTGGCTTCAAAAAGAAAGTGAAACAGAACTGGGGAAAAGATTTTTGCCAGTGAAGCGTGACTGTGAGCCCCACAATGCTCCAGTATGAACCCCAACCGGCAAGAACAGCATCAGCTGCTCAAAGCTAGAGTAACAACTTATCTCCAAGCTCAGGAAATTTAAACCCAGGTAATCTTTAACATCTGAAACAAATCAGCCTGAAACCAGAGGCTAGGAAGAAAGTCTGCTGAGCACAGTTATCATCAGAAACACTCTGACAATGGGAAATTCCAGAAAATGTTAACACACTCTGGAACCTATCTAATAGTCATTTCCTCCTTTGACTTACTTTTCCCAGTGGGTAAAGATGTCCTCGAGTGAGGTCGAGAGGGAAGGGAGCAACTTCTGCGAAAGCAGAGGGAACACAAGTCAGGAATCGGCTTCGGTTCAGGATGCCACCACCAGACAGAAGCAGTGATCACAGAGGCCCCTTCAGGAATCCCCAGGAAAACGGGAACGTGTCCTCCCCACACACGCGCTCCCAGTAAAGCCCCCCCAACACA